TATATATACTTTATGGGGTCTAGGATGAATATTTAAGGATGTTACAAACGAAAAAAATATGACAAAGATACAAAAATATATTCACATTTGCATTGTCATATTTTTCCGCGATTTTCTTAGATTTTGTCATTTTCTGGCTAGATACCGAAATTCGAATTCATAAAAATTGTGAAAATCCGTCCAGCCGTTCTTGAGATATAAGCGGTATAAATAATATCAGTATCACTGTAAAGGTCAGAAGTGACATTCTCGTTCATTTGAGATTTCGTCAGGATAAAAATATTCACGGTTTAGTGGAAATTGTCGTATTTTTTACATAAAAGTTATGATCCAGTTTACCCGAAAAATATTGTCCGATGACCAAACAAAATAGTAGACTTCTGACTCACGCTTAATTTTAACCCCATGCTAAATTGATTGGTATATAATCGCAACCTGTAGAGCAACTGCAAAATTATGTCTTTTTTTAGTCCATTCTGACCCTAACCCCACCTCCGTGCTAAATTTCGTGAGGATCGGACCATAATTGCGACCTGTAGAGTGATTAAAAATTTACATGGATAGACGGACATACATAGCTAGATCGACTCAGCTCGTCGAGATAGGAAGATCCACATATAATTTGTGGCCCAATCAAACTTATAATACCCCCAATATTTCGTGTTGCGGCACGTTTTTTTTTTAATTCTTGTCCTTAAACTAATAACAAAACCAGTAAGGAACGGTCGAAGTGGTTCACAATATCCTTGAAATGGGATAAATATATATATATGGGATGTATATCCAAATCTGATCCGATCTCGATAAAATTTGGCATAGCTATTTTTTGAAAAGTTATCTGGTACAAAATATCATTGTTGTGGAGTGCATATTACGAATGTGAGGAACTTAAACACTAAATCGAATGAAATATATATATATGGAAGCTAAAGCTATATCAGAATCGATTTTGTCGAAATTTCATTAACTTGCTTCTGGACTGAATTTAGTGGGATGTGCCAAAATGCAGGTAATTTGGACTGATATTGGCCTTTTGGTGCACAATTAACCCGAAATCGGATGAAGATATATATGGGAGCTATATCTAAATTTTCACCGATTCTTATCAACTTCAATAAGGTTCGTCCTTGGACCAAACAAATATTGTTTGAAAAATTTCATATCAATCGGATAATAAATGTCACCTGCATTTTGTTCACAAAAATACATGGACAGACGGACGGACTGACATGCATAAATCAACTCAGAAAGTGATGAAGTATGAAGATCCTCAAAAGTAACTATGGGTCTATCTCGCTCCCTTCTCCAAGTTACAAACAAATGCACAAAGACATAATACCCTTACCACTATGTGGTGTAGGGTATACAATTAAGTTCTTTACATATTGAAATGGATTTGAAAATGTAATTATTATTTAATATAGTTTAGAGTGAGACACCAGGATGAATGAACGATTATTATGAACATTTTTACACCTGTGGCTGAAGTCCGAAAAGCAGGGACCTAATATTTTCCATGATCGCTTCATACCTATGTTTGATTTAAATAATACCCAGACCATGTTTGGACTATGTCGAATTCTCAATTTGTTTTGTGTTTTTGCGCAATACGTTAGACTTTTGATGGGGACCGATATATTCGATTTTTTTATACTTGATCTAATATTGGTCAAAATATTGGAATGAGATGTATTTAAAAAAAGGACACTGATTTCACATCCTACGGAAGGAGTAAAACAAAATTTGTCCATTTTCGCACCTGATCTAGGATACTGTCTACGAGAGTTATTATACGCCCGGACGGGCAGATCGACTACAAGTGTCCGCAAACGGGACTTGATCTAAAGTGACTGGGTTCTAAATCTATTATCTATTATTATTTGTCCTATCAAATTATGTATACCCTATGTAACCATAAAGCTTAGGGCATAAAATCGCTTGATCGATTTGAATATCCAGCGGCAAATTATTTGCAACAGTCTGATATTGTTCTTTTTGGCCTTTTATACCCTTAGCCATATGGCTACAGAGGGGGGTTTAACGGTTTTTGAACCAAATCCGCTTCAGAACAATTATTATCAAACTTAGATCGAGTTCGAAGATGAGTAATATCAGTCCACTTCCTCTGGTACTTCTTCCACAAAAGATAAATATTTTTACAGAAAATAGTTTTCCGCATAGAACACGAAAGTATCCTTTTTGTATTTTGTGCAAACTTTGAAAATCTCAATATTTGTATCAGTTCTAGGTCAGGTGCGAAAATGGACAATATCGGTCTACTACAACAGGTACCTCCCACACAAATGGTCAAATTTTGTAATTCTTATTAAATTGGAAATAAGCTTCCGATTCTCTCCAATTTTCGCATATCACAATATTTCTATCAACACGTAATCTAATGTGAAGATTAAATATATCAGGCTACTCCTTCTGGTACCTCCCTCACAACAGATCAAAAATTTTGAATAACTATAAAACTAATAAAACGCAAAATGAACATCCGATTATTTTCAAACCTAGTATATCCCAATATTTTTGCTAACACAAAAACTGGCGCAAAGATGAAATATATCGGTCCACTCCTTCTGGAACCTTCCCCACAAAGGATCAACATTTTGAATAACCGAGACGCTTATAAATGCGTGGTAAGCATCCAATTCCCTTCAAATTTTACACATCGACTTTTTTATATTAACACAAGATCTGCTGTTAAGTTGGGATATATGGGTTCACTCCTTTTACCTCACCTACCTCACCTATAAAGGGTAACAATTTTTTATCTGTTATAACTTGCGAAACAAGTCATCGATTTTTTACAACTTCCTCTATCCAAATATTTCTCTGAACCAAAAACCTGGAAACCTGGAATGAATATGGAATTTATGTTTTCGCATGAAATTGGATATATATGTTCGATTTTGTTGTAATTTTGCCCATACTAATATTTTTATCTGTATTAGATGAAGTGTGAAATTTGAATACCTTGATCGAGTATATCTGTTATCTCACACACATTTCAACATTTTCTAAAAATTACCACACATCTCACATAAAGTGAAGGAAGTAACCAGGCACCTGGCACGTCGCAATATTTATATAATATGAATTTAGGTCCGATACGAAATTCACAATGTTGGCCAAATCCTTCGGAATCTACTCCAGAGAGGGCAAACATTTGAATAATCACAACAAATATAAACAAAATATATTAAAATATTTCAACATTGGTATACATGTGTCGGAAAACCGACCTTTGTTATTATACCCTACAACACTATGTGTTGGGGGTATTATAAGTTTGATTGGGCCAGAATTTATGTAACACCTCGAAATATTGGTTTCCCATATAGGAAAGTATATATGGATCTTCCTAACTCGACGAGCTGAGTCGATCTAGCTATGTATGTCCGTCCGTCCGTCTGTCCATGTTAATTTGTAATCACGCTACAGGTCGCAATTATGGCCCTATCCTAACGAAATTTTGCACGAAGGTGGGGTTAGGGTCAGAATAGAAGCCTATGAGATGATCGCCACATTTTAGGGGTTGAAATGGACCAAATACTGAAAAAATGTCGGTTTTTGCAGTAGCTATACATGTCGCAATTATAGACCAATCGACGGAATTTCGCATGTAGCTAGAGTTTAAGCCGGGGAAGAATCCTACCAATTCAGGTGGTCATCGCATAATATTTAGCGGGTAAAATAGACCATATCTTTTGTGTTGAAAAAATTCAAAATTTTTCATTAATCCCCGAATATTTTAAATCCCGACGAAATCACAAAGTCATGGCCAGGTTACTTCTGATCTTTACATTGATGTTAAGATCCAACAAATCGAATATATAGCAAAATATGTGCGACATATATGTCTATCAAAGAAGATATGCTTGAAAGATCTCATATATGTCGAGAACGGCTGATCTGATTTCGACAGTTCTCATTAATTCAGAATGGCCTCTTGATAGGAAAGAAAAAACTTCTAAAAAATCGCATAAAAATATCTCTTAAAGATGAAAATATTGATTTTGTAAAATTTTCTCATATTTTTTCAATTTTGTCATATTTTTGGCATATTTTCATTTTGAATTAAACATTTGGTAATATTTCTGCAGCTAACAAAACTAAGTACTTAGGATATCAGGATATCATATACAGATCGCATTTATGGCCCGATCCTTACGAAATTTTGCATGGGGATAAGATGAGGGTCAGAATAGAAGCCTACTCTTTTTGGAGATGATCGTCATATATTTAGGGGTTGAAATGGACCAAAAAACTGCAAAATTGTCAGCAGGTCGTAATTATAGCCCGATCGTCACGCACATTTGAATGGGGGTTACCGGACAAAAAAAACCAAGCAGTTTTGGATGGCCATCCAAAATTATTCAATGTGTAAAATAGTTTTCTAACTTTTGTAGACAAAATACGAAAATGTCCATTTCAGAGACTTTTTGGAGAATTCACAAATACAGGAAGGACGCACTTCTGACTATTTCGTTAACGCTGATTTCGTTGAAGAATATAGTCAAATGTCTGTATCTCATATAGATGCGTTTCAGTCAAAAACCAATAATAAATGTTAATCTTTTGCCACTTCTGAGAGATTATAGGTCTTTACGAAATATTGGTTCCAGATCTGGGAAGACCATTTACATGCAATATCTAACAATAAATTGGAAATTAGAAAATTAGTTTAAGTTGCTATTATTCGAAAATTAGAGAACGAAACCTGATGGTTTTCTTTTATCATTTGTCACAATATCTTGTGGAATTCTTTCGTGTATCTCGCCTATATAAACTGTATCGTTTATTACAGTGTTGTAGGGTATTCAACGGTCGGCCCCGCTCGGCTGTAGCCTTTGCTTACTTGTTTTTATTATATTCTTTTTTAGTCACTGAAACAATAAATATATTTTACATATCCCTCACAGCAAATAAATATTCTACACCAATTCTTATCAACTTCAAATTCTCATAAAATATTTCCGCTCAAGTTATACCAAATGCGAATATTGTGTATCCACAGATCCATCGGCGCCAAACAATTCCAATTCGTCTTTCATGTTCAAGTTTCACCAAAAAACAACACACTTTTCTTTCGTCCTCTTTGTTCGGAAATCACAATAGCACAACTTTACACGTGACAAAACAAGACATGAAATGAATGACAAGGGACACAAAACCAAATGTCCAATTTCCTTGTTACAATTCTTTGTTGTTGTTGTTGTTTTCTTGTCCAATTCCTATTTGCAATTCATAAGATCAACATCTATTAGATTAGTTATTTGAATTGCGTCGTCGGTAATTTTTCATCAAAAACCACACGAACATTCACAAACGCACACACACAGTGATAAACAAGTTAATAATTCACACAGCGCCACACACAATTCTCTCCATGAGTCGCACTGCCAGAGTCACACTGAACACTTACATCGAACTTGTTGTACTGGCACTTGTTTGAATCCTGTGCAGTTCTTCTGGCCGGGACACTGAAATGTCGACTAAAATGTCGAAAACACCTTCGACACTAATTTAGCAGCCATGGTGTCAATTTAACATTAGGCCAATAGACTGCCATTAGACCACGACCACGCAGTCCACGATGTCCGGCATCCGGCCATCCGGCGGCCATTTCACGTCACGACATAAAACGTTTTCGCCATATTCAAAGTCATGTACAGGCATGTCATGCATGCGGGGCACGTTCAAAGGCTTCCTCGCTCCAGGCTAGGCTGGGTTATCGACGTTCTGCTATCGACAGGACAAACAGAAACAGAACCAAATGTTAAAGAGAAAAACGCTCCCATACACCCACTGCCACGGATGAATCGCCTCCCAGACCTAATGAATAATTAAATGTTAATAAATTTGTTCGTATGTCCATCGGTGTGGTTGTGTAGAGATTTGTTTGCTGTCACAATGCGGCCGGCCTTACATTACAAATGTGCTCCTGCAGATATATATGTTTTTTTTTCTGTTGTGTTAAACTAGCTGTAGATACATGCCTAGATAGAGATATAAGCGATGTTACCTATAAGTTATGAATAAACTTGATTTAAGCTCGAAAAAATAGAGATTTATGTTCTAGCAAGGCTTCAGTTAAATTTTATTATCAGGGATGGACAACTTGTTTGGGGTGGAAAGGAGGATCGAACCACAACCTAGAGTGAAGTTAGCGGGCACTGCTGCAAACAGTCGTTGTCGTTGTCTTTAAAAGCCTGAGTGGCTTTCTCTTTCCCCAAAACTTTCAGCGAAAAGTCCTCCTTAAAGTTTTAGATTCGTTCCTGTTACACCTTTTGAGTAGTCAAAATGCACAATTTGTTCAGTTTGACAAAATTTGTAATCAAAACTTCTACATCGTACTAATTTTTTCAGATTTTCAGGGTCTTACGTATTATTCAAGTTTTTCCTGTTGCGGAAAGAATTATAGGAAATTGTTTATTTTTTACGCCAAAAAGTGTTCAAAAACGTTCATTTTGGAATTTTCATCATCTTCACATGTAAACCCTTGAAACTAGTAATGACCTTAATCCAATAACAAATTTAGTAACATTTCCAAAACCACCTCAAATCTCAATGTCAAATTTTGAGGGTACCAGCCCTATCCTTTCACTAAATACTAAATTTAGTACCATTTAGTCCTTTTAGTTGAAATATAGCACGTATTTCCAAAACCGCCTCCAATCTCATTTTCCGATACCAACAGAGGCATCAATATCAAATTTGAGGATTCCAGCCCAATCACTTCACCCAATACCAAATTTAGTACCATTTAATACTTTTCGTACAAATATAGGACACATTTCCGAAACTACCTCCATATCTCAACATCAGATACCAACAGTGACATTTAAATAAAATTTTGGGGTCCAAACTCTATCCCTTCACCAAAATGCCAATTTAGTACAACTTAGCTCATTTTTGGGAATATTATTGTACACATTTCTAAAAACACCTCCAAATCTTAACATAAGACACCATCAGTGTCTTCTATATCAAATTTGAAGATTTAAGCTCTATTCCTTTGCCCAATACCAAATTTGGTACTATTTAGTACATTTGTACTATTATTGTACACATTTCCAAAAACCTCTATATTTGAGGGTTCCAACCCTATCCCTTCACCCAATACCAAATTTAGTACTATTTAGTACATTTCGAACCATTGCAGCACATTTTTAAAATCTCTCCCATATTTCGGTTCCAGATACTAACAGAGACCTCCATATCAAATTTGAGGATTCCAGTTATATCGGTTCACACAAATCTAAATTGTACCAAATTTAGTACACATAAGTACAAATACTTTTAATACCCTCCACTATTTTTAACGAACATGGAAAATTTCAAAAAAAAATCCGTCTCAAAAACACCGCTCAAAGGAAACCAGTTATATGGGGGCTATAGTGCCAAGACGTGAACCTGAATATCCAATTTTTGTCATAAGCTGTAGTACCATTACGAACTGTAAATACAATATTTGAAATAATTCCGGAAAAAATGTCTCTGATATCATCAAACTGGAAATAATTAAACCCGTGAATAATGTTGCTAATATCATCAAAATACTAAATGAAGATAGGTGCCGCTAAATGTGGACCTTATTATGGCGTGGATCCCCATAGACAATTTTCTGTCATAGGTTGTAGTACCTATACGAGCTTCAAATACGAAATATGAAACAATTCCGTTGAATGATGTTCATGAAATCATCAAAATACCGAACATCAAGAGGTATCTGTATATGAGGGTTATACGAAGATTTGGACGCAATTTCATAGGCTATAGCACCCATTACGAACTTTAAATACGAAAATTGAAATAATTCTGTTAAAAAAATGTCGCCATTATCAAATAGCGAATATCGGGTGGAAGCTATTCGAAATTGAGGACCTATAAAGACAATTCTTTAATTAATTAATTAATGTCGCTTAAATCGTCAAAATACCGAAAATCAGAGGGTACCGTTATATGGAGGCTAACCATATCGTGGACCTATATTGACAATTCTACTCCAGGGGTTGAAATACAGCGAAGGAACTTTTTGTGCAGAATTTCGAACAATTCCATTGAAAAGTATGGCTAAATCATCCAAATACCAAAAATCGTGGGGTACCATTATATGTGGACTATACGATATCGTACATCGATAAAGCCCATCTTCGAACTTGACCTCCTGCAGATAAAAGCTGATCTGTGCTGTATTTTAGCTTCTTATCTTGTTTCTTTTATCTTATTTCTTTTTGATTCTCGCGTGATTACAACAGACGGATAGATGGACGGACAAGGCTTATTATCGTCTTAGAATTTTACGCTGATCAAGAATATATACTTTGTTATGTGTAAAATTATTATTTCGATGAGTTACAAATGGAATGAGGGTATAAAATCTACATCCATGCCTCAATCATAGAATTCCATATAAATCTTCTTTCTAAATTTCAGAATTCCAGCTCTATCGGATCACTGAAATTCAAATTTAGTTCCATTAGTACACATTTCCATAACAACCTACATCACACAATCCAATAGAAATCTTCTTTCCTAACTTCAGGATCGGTTCACCTAAATCCAAACTGTACCAAATTTACACTCTGACAGCAATCTTTTATCCACATTTCACAATTCCAGCTTTATCGGATCCCAACAATTCCAATTCGTACCAAATGTAGCACCATTTAGTACACATTTCCATAACAACCGGCATCATACAATCCAATTGAAATTTCAAAACTCCAGCCCTATCGGTTCACCTAAATCCAAATTTCCAAAACTACCTACATATCCCAATCCTACACTTCACCTCTAGTCTTATATCCAAATTTCAGGATTCCATCTCTATTGGTTCACCCAAATCCAAATTTAGAACCATTTAGTACCAATTGGTACATATTTCCATAATTACCTACATCATATACAATCCAAATGGAATCTTATTTTCAAATTTTAGCATTCCAACTCAGCCGGTTCTGCCAAGTCTTAAATTGTACCAAATTTAGTGCACACAAGTACAACCTTTCAAGACTTCCTACATACCCTAATCCTACAATGCAATAGTAATTTTATATCCAAATTTCAGCATACCAACTCTGCCGGGATATTGTACCAAATTTAGTGTACCATAAGTACAAACCTCTAAAACTACCTACGTACCTCAGTTCTTTAATATTATAGTAAACTTATTTCCAAAATTCATCATTCCAGCTCTATCCGTTCACTCAATCGTATCACTTGAATATAGTACCATTTAGTACTTCCCGCGCACATAAGTACAAATTTCGAAAATTTCCTCCATATCCCAATCCTACACTCGAAGAGTAATGTTGATTTAAAATCTCAAGATTCCATCCCTTCCTCCAAATTCAAATTGTACCAAATTTAGTACCTTTTATTACATTTCGTATATATGTGTACCCATTTCTAAAACTACCTTCTTACTACCGAACTTACTCCTCAAACTTGATTCCCATTCGGAATTTCAAGTTATTAGATACATGAAACGAAATGGTACAAAATGTTATATTTTAGCACTTTTTGTACAATTATAGTGCGAATTTACAAAAACCCTTTGGTACACCCATCATACACTCCATCATTGACCCTCATTCTACATTTAAGAGTTGAAGCTTACTTGTTCGTCAAATACAAAGGGTACCATATTTTATACCTTTTAATACTCTTTATACAGTTCTAGTAGGAATTTTGAAAAAGAAAACAACCTTCGGACCTAGTGTGACCCTTACACAAAATTTGATGATTATAGCTTCAGCCGTTTCGTCTGACGTTGATGAATCGTTAAGTCAGTCAATTACTTTACTCTTTTATAAATATAGATTTTCCAAAAGCAAGACAATGACGAATAATCTCACAACCACAACACACCACTCAACCAGACAAACACTACTAATTCTAAAAAAAGCTAAATATTTTTTCGAGTGTATAGTCTATTATTATGATTGACATTTTACAAGACATTACAATACCAAAAAAAAAAAAAACGAACGCAACAAACATTAAATAAATTAATTGTGGTTAAAATTGCTGGAACATCACTAGGTGGGTATGTGTGCGTGTGTGATGCGATGTGGCTATTATTAAAGAGACAGGAAACTATAATTGTCGTGGTAATCATTTTTCATTACCAAATAACACATAAAATGTCCTTGGCAATCAATAATATTTAAACGAACATCGATAGTGTTAATAAGTGAATGCCTGGCGATAATTATGAATATTTGAAGACCTCGTGCTGAGAATTAATTAACGGTAGATTAATAAGTCCCTAAAAACTTTGTCTTGAAAATATAACACCAATGTAATCACAAAATAATACTTGAAGTAGTTAAATAACATAATTTACAT